CACATTTTCTGAAACAAAACGATATAAACCTGAAATCAGATGATTCGTCCTGTGATAGATGATACTAAAACCACAATGTGGGGGTAGAAATTAACAACTTTTACCATATTCACTGAATATGATTCCTCCTGAACACAATCCTTCCTCCACTTTAACAAGCTGCATAGTCATTCTTGGTCCAATTTCTTGCAGTTTCACTGCACTCTTAGTGGAACTCCGGTTAACTCGGCCCAGATCAGATGATAGTGTCACTGTTGCCGCTTCTTCATCTCCTTCGCTCTCTGATCCATAACCAGCCCTGGAAAAAACCCACATGAGCAAAGAGAAGGAAAATCACATCCATCCATCCACATCGATATCAGAGAGGAGTAAATAAAAAGAACAGATTGAACCGACGTAGATTCTTACTTGGTGACAAAATCACTAACATCCTGCAGATTCCTAAGATCAGGGACCTGATGATTTTGAACAAACTTTCTGATCCTACGAGACACTCCTACAGGCTGAAGCCTTATAGAATAATGCCGGAAATCAATGAGTTTTGTATCTTTATTGTAGTTCAAGAGTACTAATCTCTGGCATGTGGAGAGCTTGACCTGACACACATATTATCTCACCATCAGAATATGTAAATCAAATTGTCGAAACAAGTTCCAACCGATAATAAAAGCATATATTATCGTCTTGGCAACAACAACTTACAGTGTTGATATCGATAGCTGGGAATATGTTCTGAAACATAATCGTTGCTAGCTTAAGATGCAGCTCCTGACTACCGAATCCAGAAAGGACAATCTAAACCAAGACGAATCAACACTCTCAAGTGTTAGCAAAACCCACAAAATTACAAAAACCAAAAAGGAAGTAAGAGCAGCGATTGAGATTGGTTACCAAAGGGGGGCTCTTGAAAAGATCTTGAGGACATCTAGGCCGAAGCTGTGACTGAGCTATATCCGATGCTAAGGAATACTGATGAATCTTGAATGTAAGAGTCGGTCCCTGCGGTGTTCTCGCTACTCTTAGAGACAACGCAGAGGCTGTTTTCGCTAGCATAAGGAAATGCGTAACACCCATCGGACCTGATACATTCAAAAAGTCCCTTAAAGTGTTTCTCTTCTTCTCCTGCAAACAAGAAAATGAAAAAAAAGGTAACAACTTGCATCAGTAATGGTCTCAAATCACAACTCTTTTTTCTAACTGAACAAAAGTTATAAACTGACCTTAAGACTGAGAGCAGTGTAGGGAAGCATGAGCTTTCTCAAATCCATCTGAAGTTGTCTAACAGGACCAGGAAGTTTCATTCTTGAAAAAACAAAACTTTTTGGGATCTTATCACCAGTAACATGATCAACATTCGCTTGATTTTTCTTCACTATAGGCTTCACATTGACCCTACCCTTCTTATTCTATATCAATCACAAAGTGTAAAAACCCAGTAAACACATATTACTGGAAAACAAAAAAAAACACGAACTTGTACAAATGTTTTTCACTTACGCTTTTGAAACGACCCATTTACTCTGACCACCAAAGCTTCACAGTTTCTGGAAAGAGAAAAATCGGATTCATGAATACAAAGACGAAACATTTATGTACATAAACAATTCAAAACCTCTTAACTCTTGGAACCCTAACAGTGAACGAGCTCTAGATTGGGGTTTTTCAGAACAATGGATGATTCAAAAAAGAGAGTACACACTCGAATTAGAAATCATTACCAAAACCCTAATTTCGCCGGCCGGAGCAATAGAGCTTCAGGTAGGAGATGACGGCGATTTGTAAAGATTGAAGTTTTGCTTAATCAGAAGATGAGAAGCCCTATATACTCAAACCGGTTTGCATAATTTTTCAATCACGAGTCCGGTTTAGTGATTCCAATTTTTTTTTAAAAAGA